TGTTATTAGCAAGAATTCTTCATGCAAACAAGATATCTATATAAACGGGGAAACTTTTGAATCCATTTTGGTGCATGGAAATCTTAACATTCTTGAAAATACTACAAAACCTCACTACACATCACTGTATATTTTACACACAAAAATATATCACACTACAGAATTAAAACTTCACCTTATACTCCACATTATTGTCACCAAAACAATATACATTATACCCACCATTCTCTGTCACACACAACTAAGATATATGTGTAAATTCAATCAATAACTTCTTCAATGGGAACTAGAACTTTACTTTCCACCCTCTTCTTACAAGTACACATATTAATGCAAAAAAAAAGTATATCATTCTGACCAATAACTTACTCATACGTGTATTATTCAGAGGATACATACCAAAAAAAAGACCCTGTTTTCTGTCATACTAAATATGTACTCATAAAATCTAATTCACTCTCATTCCACATAACCACTGATACAGATTTATGCAAATCACTGTACATATTTCATACGAGATTATTAATAATAGTGCAAGAATATCTTTACACACATATTGTCCTTCACTACACACCCACCATTCTTTTATGCACATGCTTTCTTTAAATGAATACATGTACGTTATGGTGTATTCTTCCTTCACAAATACTTCAGTTTCATGGTTCAGAGTGTGTAACGCCGTGTCTGCGTTCGTCAGTGGGCCCGCCCGCCCTCCCTCTTTCTTACTACCAACCCCCTTCCAGTGTTCCACTTCCTGGTTTCCGTCGGCTGAGGTCCACCGCGAGTGTTCCATTCTGTTGTGCGAGCTTGAACTGTTCAGTTGATTCACTCTTCCCCTGGTCTGTACGATTGTGATTGGTTGATTGTCGGAGGCCTATTACCTCCAGGGACTTGATTTGTGCTCGCATTTATTACATATATATATTATTTTTAGATATATTTGTTATAGTGCCTTTGAGTTGGTACGTCATACCCAGAAACCAAATTTCGGTCTTCAAGACCTTTTCACGTTTCAAAGTGGTAGTAGAGCGTGGTTTGGTTTTGGGGATCTTTTGGTCATTGCCCTAGTTTTCTGTTTTCTTGCAGTTGTTTTCATTATGACTGCAGAGCCAGTAGTGCCTGAGTATTTGCACAGGGTCGAACTAGATTATGAGCTCGCCGTTTTTGGGGTTCCTATCGAAGGGTTGAATGTGGCTGCACTGAGAGCGTTGTTCAGGACCTAGCGCTATGTTGAAGTGAACGCCGAGCAGTTCATCACTACGAAAGGTTTGAAGGATATGCCAACTATTATTTCCTTTTGTCAGGATAAATTTTTGCAAATCAAAGAGTTGGTGGAAAACACGGACAGTTCCTGTGTTTTCGTTGATTTCCCCCGTTATTTACATAGACTTACCCATCTTGGTACTCGGCTTCGCGATCTGTTCCAGTTTAGAAGAATACCATCCGAGTTTGAGTCTTCCGCCCTCACATTGCGTGAGCAAGTGCAGTCTCTTTCGGCAGGAATCAACAGCAATTTGCAGAGCGAGGAGCATACGTCATCAGTACCGCCGCTCTCTGCAAGTACGATCAATTTGCACAACGCTGAAGGTAGGAGAGAATCAGCTGTTGTATTTTTTGCCACTCCACACATGGAGCATTTAACCCCTTCCCCTCTTCTTGTCGTGGATCCGCCCAGTCAACGAAATGATCGGTCAATCTTGTGTAATCTACCCACCACAGGGGTGTCCACTTATCCTGGTTATCTGCCTTTCCCTTCGTCTTCGCAAAATTGCCGAATCCAGTACATCAAATGTTTCAGGGTCTTCCCGTCACGGACGGATTGGACTTGTCCCAGTTGATTAATTTTTGCGAGTTTTAGTGAGGATTGGGCACAGACTTGCGGTTTTCCAAGTGCCCTCTGTTCACGTCTTGCAAGTCTTTTACGGTTTTACCAAAGGGGCATTAGCCTCAAAAACGTTTGACGCAATACGGCGTGGGGATACTCTCCAAGCTTATCATGAGAGTATACTTGAGTTTTTTTATTCCAACACGTGCCATGTTGCCACTGATAAGTTCCGATTATTTGAGAGCCCAAAGGGCCAACGAGCCCCTATCTGCTTATGTTACTGACATTAAGGAAATTGCTGCTGTTCTGCGTCAGGATGCGGACGAGGCAGCTGTGGTCAGAAATATCCTCGATGGGCCCCACCCGCGGGAAAGAAGTCGGTTAGTTTTTTTGTGATAAACCTGCCACCTATGCCGAACTAGACAACATGTGCATATATGCACACAATATTTCGACGAGCGACGAGAGTCAGAGCTCCCGATCGCGCAATTCACCCACTCCTATGACGCTTGCCGAGCCTTCTGTGTCTGGTAACCCTACTTCGCAACCTTCCCAAAAGGTTTGTTATCGCTGTAACAAAGTTGGGCACATCCGTCGAGAGTGCCGTGTTAAGTTCTCGGCATTACCTAGGCAGCCGCCTTTATCCCAAGCTCGACGCAATTGACTAGAAGGTAACGCGGTCCCCTAGTTCCCACGTGTCTTTTGCCATTCCCATGGGTGATACTCATATGGTTTCTACCTTGCAGAGTCAGAGTATACAGGGTGTTTCTGAGTATCATTTACCCTGTCTTCAAGTGGAATTGGGTTTCGGACCAGTGCACGCGCTCTTAGACTCAGGGACTGTGCGTTCGTTGATATCGGTTACAGTTTATGAGACCCTTAAGAGGAAATTCCCCATTATACCCACTTATCCCGTCACTGTGAGATGTGTCACTGCGTCTGCGCACACCTTTCCGGTGCACATTGGGGTTAAATGCAAGGTTAGGATTAACAGGTATACGTGGAAATTTCCTTTCTATGTGGTCCCGGATTTGATACCAGTTATTTTGGGGGCTGATATCTTGGGCAAGTTTGGCTTGATGATTGATACACAGGAAGGGTTTGTCTTCTGTAAATTCGACCCCACCAATCTAATGCCTTTACAGCGTCGATTTTCGACTCTGGAAGTTTTGCGGGTGTGCACTGCTTCCCAGTCTCATCGTGAATTTTCCTATTTGAGTGACGTAAGCGCTACTCAGTTGAAGCAGCTCATTAAGGATTTTCCGGACGTCCTAACCCCTAAGTTCGGACTCACTAATCTATTGAAGTATGACACTGAGCTACTGGACACATCTCCGGTTAAGGTCCCGCCCTACAGGTTGATTCCACCTAAAATGGATATATTGCGCCGCCATATATGTCAAATGCTTGACGAGGGTATCATTAGACCTTCCACGTCTGCATACTCAAGTCCCATCTTCCGCGTCCCCAAAGGCCAAGATGGTTTTCGTCCGGTTGTGGACCACCGGGCGCTCAATAAAAAAATCAAAATCGAGTCGGTGCCGTTGCCGGACATACATATTTACACTGGTTCAAAGCAGCCAAAGTTTTCTCTTCGCTCGACCTAAATTCAGCATATCATCAGATTGGTCTGACTGAACGATCCAAGGCATTAACTGCCTTTGCCACTGACTGGAACTTATATGAGTATACTCGGGTGCCTTTTGAGCTGGCCACCGGAGCGTAGGTTTTAACACGGCTCCTGGATAAGGTTTTCTCGGACATCAAGTTTAAGTTCGTCTTCCACTATTTGGACGACTTGGTGGTCTACAGTGATTCCTTTGAGGAACACATACTCCATTTGCATGAGGTTTTCAGTCGGTTGCGTCAGGCGGGGTTAACTGTTAACCCAAATAAGGTTAAATTTGCTACTCCCCGCTTGTCATTTCTGGGACATATAGTCTCACCTGAGAGAATCACCGTGGACCCGAGTAGAACCGAAGCCATTAAGAATTTCCCCCCTCCCCGGGACGCAAAGGGGATTGCAAGATTCATCGGTATGGTGAATTTCTTCCATAAATGTATCCCCCATTTTGCCGAACGCGCGGCGCCCCTTAACATGCTTCGAAAGAAGGGTGAAGTTTGCATGGGGAACGGAGCAGCAGTCTGCGTTTGAGAATCTTAAACTAGCTATCATCAATCGCCCAATCCTCCGAACCGCGGATTTTGCACGGAAATTTACCCTTCAGACAGATGCCAGCTCTGTTGTTGTGGCTGCAGTTCTATTACAAGAATTTGATGGGGAGCTACAACCTATTGCCTACACATCTCGTTCATTGTCCCATCAAGAACGCAAATTCTCCACGTACGAGCTGGAGTGTCTAGCGGTCCTGTTTGGTCTGGAGAAATTCAGACCATACTTGAAACATACTGAATTAGATCTGCAGACCGATAATCAGGCTCTACCGTGGTGTTTATCACATCCCCGCCAACTGGGAAGGATTGGTCGTTGGATGGTAAGATTATCTTCATTCAAATTTAATGTCCAACACATCAAGGGAACCCAGAACTTCATTGCGGATGCTTTGTCGCGAATGTATGAGACCCCTGTTCATATCCCCGTATGTCCAATGGTTTTAGATTTCCCTATGCTGTTTGAGGATATTGCTACTCACCAGAACGCTGATCCAGTGCTCAGCCCCATCATTCGCCAATTAATAGCTGGGGAAGTACGAGGATATTCGCTGATGAAGGGCGTACTTTATTGTAAGGGCCGTTTCGACGGTAAGCCTAAGGTGGTAATTCCCGAAATTCTGGTACCCGCGCTGTTTGCGTATTTCCATGACTCTCCTTGCGGGGGTCATTTGGGAGTACGCAAAACTTTATGGAAGATTCGTCAGTCGTTTATATGGAAGGGGATGGACGCAGATATCGCTGGGAGAGTTCGGGCGTGTCAGCTGTGTGGGCCACACAGCCCACTATGGTATGTTGGCGTCGGAAGTGGCAAGCCGACCGATGGAGAAATTGTTCATCGATATTGTGGGTAATTTGATTTCGTTGTGGAACAGAGGAAACATATTCTTGAAAAATTTGGTGCACTAGCCATTACTCGGTTCAGGTTAATACACACATTAAAGCATACCATTTGCACTATCTCACTGAATCTTTTAAAATATACTTTCAGGCAGATAATTAATAAGAACTTGTACATATATGTATATGAACATACACACATAACACCCTTTAATTATTTATAAACACCTCTTCATACATAGTAAGAAACATACCTTCATTTCGTACACCGGATATTTAGGTCACAGCGACAGGGCAGCCAACTTCTTAACATGACTGAAACAGAAACATTCCATTATCAGTTCCCTTACAGGACGGTAATTTTCACTCTATTCTTTACGCATTTTCGTGTATATTATTATTCTACTTCCTATCCAGGAAGGGAAATTCGGGCGAAACAAATGCCGAGCAGTCATTGAATTGGACGCGTATCCATCCACGAGAAGGAAGGGAACAATTTCACTGATAATACCTTTCGTTATAACGTTATGCCATCCGTGGGCACCATGTCATAATATGATATTCAGTAATCATTTGTATCACCGTTGGGAATCCGCAAACTCGTGAGGTGGGAGCGACATTTTCGACACAATCTAAGCTATTACGTAGCAATATAACCTCGAAATATGAGAGCATAAATTGGGTGGAAAAACAGCCAACACAAGACAAAAGCTCAAAATTATACATCAAAATGCACAATATCTCAATAATAAAACTGAACTATTCACAGCATTCCTTCAAAGTACCACCGCAGATATATTGGCAATTTCTGAACATGGTCTTAAAGATGATGAAATTACTCAATGTATATTAGGATATATTTTAGCCTAGGGTTGCCAGATTTTGTAAAATAAAAAAAGGAGTGATGTCTCGTTGCTTGTTTATAACGATATTTTTCACAACTAATAGGCTATAAAATATACATAATCAAATATTACGTGATGCGTTCCGTATATAATGCCTCCTATTTTTTGTGTTAATATGTAACGTCTGAGCTGGATGTTGGTGGTGTTGTAATAAAGGTTGAACCTTCCCGCCAATGTACTGTTAATTTGGATGTCATGCGACAGATAGCGACGGCAGAGCAGTCTACCAAAATGGCGTCTCACATAGAAGTGCGTTCGAAACAGAGATGTGTTATTGAATTTCTCACTGCCGAACAAATTGCAGCCATTGACATCCATCGACGCTTGCTAAAGGTGTACGGAGACGATACAGTTGATGTCAGCACAGTGAGGCGGTGGGTAGTGCGTTTCAACAGTGGCGAAAGTGAAGTGCACGACAAGCCACGCCCTGGGCCTCCCTTCTCAGCCGCTACTCCTCACAATGAACAGCGCCTCTATCAGCTCATCCGTTCAGATCGGCGGATAACGACCAGGGAACTGTATGCACGGCTTAATATCGGCTGTAATGCATTGGAAACGATGTTGGGGAAGCTGGATTATCGCAAAGTTTGTTCCAGGTGGGTCCCGCGGATGCTTACACAGGACCACAAAACTCATCGAACGGAAGTCTGTCAGAACCTGTTGCACCCGTTTGAAGCTGAAGGTGACAAGTTTCTGGACAGCATTGTCACCAGAGATTAGACGTGGTGTCACCACTACGAGCCGGAATCCAAAAGACAGTCCATGGAGTGGCGACATCCGGATTCCCCAAGAAAAAAGAAATTCAAGACACAGCCATCTGTAGGGAAAGTGATGTGCACGGTCTTTTGGGATAGGCGGGGTGTGGTTTTTTTTATTTCCTGGAGCCTGGCGAGTCTGTCAATTCTGAACGCTACAAGACGACGCTGACTAAGCTGAAAGCCCGTATTTCCCGAGTCAGGCCAGAGAAGCAGACAACCTTTCGCTTGCAACACAATAACGCTAGACCCCATACCAGTTTGGCGACCACCGCGCACATTGCAAAGTTTGGNGTTGCTGACTTGACACTGACTTTCTAGCGAAGATTGAACGGACTAAAAATACACTATCACCAACAACTTCTGCTTTGGTTTAGACCTCAAGTGTTGCCAACATTGACGAAATGCAACATAACGAAAGAAACTATAACAATGTCATTTTCCAAGGATTACAGAAATTTCATGATAATATTTAACCCATGAAATATAATTCGCAATGGACTTAAATAAAAAAGAGGAGAATTATCCACTCCGGGTAAACAATAAACGGAGGAACAAAATTTGGGTGAAAACACGGAAGAATCCGGGGAAAACGGGGTATCTGGGAACCCTACTGTAGCCTCACACTTCAGCAGAAAAAATAAAAAAGGGGGTGGGATAGCTATTTACAGTTCTAGGAAGATACAAAAACATAAACCTCTGAAATGGGTTACAGAAAAAAGTATAGATAAAAAACTTTTGAGGTTACTGGTATAGAACATGTGAAAAGAAAAATAACAATCATTGCATTATATACATCACCAAATGGTGGAATAAACGAATTTTTTATCCATCTTAGATATTCTGGAGAAACTAATCCAGAAAGACCAATATATCATTTTAGTAGGAGACTTAAACATAAACATCCAAGAAGGTGGAAGTAGTCACAAAAAATTATTAGATGTTACAAAAGCTTATAATCTGGCTGTGACAATAAATACACCTACACGAGTAACTGAAAGTAACGCTACAACTATAGACCAAATCATAATTAATATACCGGCTAAATACTATCATACTGACATAATAAACAGCCTACTTTCAGATCATTTTGCACAATGTATAACTATTAATATGTCTGTACCACAACAAATGATGTTACAAAGAGGTCAGGAATATATCAGAAGCCAATATAATAGGTCTATGCTCTTCAATACAAACTGAAACTTCGATTGAAGTGACTAGGGAAAAGGAAGTAGAAAAAAATGGGACTCTTTTTATAGCATTTTTAACTGTTATTTTAATATAGCCTGTCCCAAACTGAGGAGAAATACCATAAGTACTTCAAAAAGCCCCTGGATAAAAAAAAAAAGATGCTATAATAGCAAGAACAAAACTAAAGGATTTGTACAACCTTTATATGCAAAGTAAGACTAAGGAACATAGAGACATCTATAAAGCATATAAAAAGGAATATAATGTAATATTAAAACGCAAAAGCAAACTACATTCAGAATATTATAACCAGATCAAATAACACACCAAAAATATTGTGTGAATTTGTTAATAGAGAAAGAGGCTCACCAAAAAATACTCTCACTAGTAATATACACTTACAAGATGGAAATGAAATAGTCTCAAGTCCGAGTAGAACATGTAACATATTTAACAAAATCTTCATAGAAATTGTAAATAAACTTGTACTTGACAAAAATTTATTACGTCACAAACTAGTAATAACAATATAAGCATAAAAGATTCACTTGTCCTATTACAAATAACAGAGACTGAATTGATTAAAGTAATTCAGGCCATGAAGAATAAAAAATCAGCAGGACTTGATGACATCTCGGCATATC